CTCCGTCTTGCCTCCTGCTCCGGACATGATTGGAGTGGTTCGAGAAGAAGAATGCGAGCTTGGGCGCTAGAGATCAAGTGTGCGGGAATGGGTAAGCGAGAAGGAAGAAGGCGTGGGTGAAAAAGTAAATCTTTGTCCCTTTATAAGGGCGGAGGAGGCGATGAGTCTCCCCACTTGCCTGGCAAAAACCGCTTATTCCCCAGGCGCCGTAATTGATGGCGTGGTTGGGTTACCCACGCCCGTATTGATGAGAATCTCGTGATAAGGGGAACATGATCTCTGCTTTGACAAGACGTATCAAGAAAACCGCCTCGCGATATGTGCGGAGCTGGTTGAGAAAAGCGGTTCAAATAATAACCGGGCCATGGTGTGATGTCATGTTGTCAAAACGTGTCAGCAGATTAGATTTGTGGAAATATTATTCTCTCTACGGTGGTATGTGGAACTTATTTTGTAGGGTCGGGCACTATCCTCATATTCAAACTCTTCCATGGTGTATTCGGAGGAGGAACTCGCCTTGCAATGCCGAAGACAATACTGCGCGCCGGACTCATCGTCATTGAAGCCTGGTTCATGGGCTACTGAGGGAGTCCTGGATTAGGGGGTCTCCGGACAGCCGGACTATATCCTTTGGCCGGACTGTTGGACTATGAAGATGCGAGATTGAAGACTTCATCCCGTGTCCGGATGGGACTCTACTTGGAGTGGAAGGCAAGCTAGGCAATACGGATATGTATATCTCCTCCTTTGTAACAGACCTTGTGTAACCCTAGCCCCCTCCGGTGTCTATATAAACCGGAGGGTTTTAGTCCGTAGGACAACATACAATCATACCATAGGCTAGCTTTTAGTGTTTAGCCTCTCTGATCTCGTGGTAGATCGACTCTTGTAATACTCATATCATCAAGAACAATCAAGCAGGACGTAGGGTATTACCTCCATCAAGAGGGCCCGAACCTGGGTAAACATCGTGTCCCCTGCCTCCTGTTACCATCCGCCTTGGACGCACAGTTCGGGACCCCCTACCCGAGATCCGCCGGTTTTGACACCGACAGTTACTATCTACAAAACTTGAATTGTCGCAAAGTGTTTTCGACAAGTTCAAGGTGTTGACTACGATGAGATTTTCTCACTCGTATCGATGCTTAAAAGTTTGTCCGAATCATGTTAGCAGTTGCCGCATTTTATGAAATCTGGCAAATGGATGTCAAAACTGTATTCTTCATGGATTTCTTAAAAATAAGAGTTGTATATGATGCAACCAGAAGGTTTTGTCGACCCTAAAGGTGCTAACAAAGTGAGCAAGCTCCAGTGATCCATCTATGGACTGGTGCAAGCATCTCGGAGTTGGAATATATGCTTTGATAAAGTGATCAAAGTATATGGTTTTGTACAGACTTGCGGTGAAGCCTGTATTTACAAGAAAGTGAGTGGGAGCACTACAACATTTCCGATATGTATGTGTGAATGACATATTGTTGATCGGAAAGAATGTAGAATTTTCTGGAATGCATAAAGGAGTTTTTGAAAGGAGTTTTTCAAAGAAAGACCTCGATGAAGCTGCTTACACATTGAGCATCAAGATCTATAGAGATAGATCAAGACGCTTGATAAGTTATTTCAATGAGTACATACCTTCACAAGATTTTGAAGTAGTTCAAAATGGAACAGTCAAAGAAGGAGTTCTTGCCTGTGTTGCAAGGTGTGAAGTTGAGTAAAGACTCAAAACCTGACCACAACAGAAAATAGAAAGAGAATTATAAGTCATTCCCTATGCCTCAGTCATAGGTTCTATAAAGTATGCTATGCTGTTTACCAGTCCTATTGTATACCTTAGCATCTTTTTGGCAAGGGAGTACAATAGTGATCTAGGAGTAGATCAGTGGACAACGGTCAAAATTATCCTTATAAGACTAAGGAAATATTTCTCGGTTATGGAGGTGATAAAAGAGTTTGTCGTAAAGATTTACGTCGATGCAAGCATTTTACATCGATCTAGATGACTCTAAGTCTCAATCTGGATACATATTAAAAGTGGGAGCAATTAGCTAGAGTAGCTACGTTTAGAGCATTGTAGACATAGAAATTTGCAAAATACATATAGATCTGAATGTTGCAGACCCGTAGACTAAACTTCTCTCACAAGCAAAACATGATCACTCTTTGGGTGTTAATCACATAGCGATGTGAACTAGATTATAGACTCTAGTAAACCCTTTGGGTATTAGTCACATGGAGATGTGAACTAATCACATAAAGATGTGAACTAGATTATTTACTTTGGTGCAAGTGGGAGACTGAAGGAAATATGCCCTAGAGGCAATAATAAAGTTATTATTTATTTCCTTATATCATGATAAATGTTTATTATTCATGCTAGAATTGTATTAACCGGAAACATGATACATGTGTGTATACATAGACAAACAGAGTGTCACTAGTATGCCTCTACTTGACTAGCTCGTTGATCAAAGATGGTTATGTTTCCTAGCCATAGACAAAGAGTTGTCATTTGATTAATGGGATCACATCATTAGGAGAATGATGTGATTAATTTGACCCATTCCGTTAGCTTAGCACTTGATCGTTTAGTTTGTTGCTATTGCTTTCTTAATGACTTATACATGTTCCTATGACTATGAGATTATGCAACTCCCGTTTACCGGAGGAACACTTTGTGTGCTACCAAACGTCACAACGTAACTGAGTGATTATAAAGGTTCTCTACAGGTGTATCCGAAGGTACTTGTTGGGTTGGCGTATTTCGAGATTAGGATTTGTCACTCCGATTGTCAAAGAGGTATCTCTGGGCCCACTCGGTAATACACATCACTTAAGCCTTGCAAGCATTGCAACTAATGAGTTAGTTGCAGGATGATGTATTACGGAACGAGTAAAGAGACTTGCCGGTAAAGAGATTTAACTAGGTATTGAGATACCGACGATCGAATCTCGGGCAAGTAACATACCGATGACAAAGGGAACTACGTATGTTGTTATGCGGTTTGACCGATAAAGATCTTCGTAGAATATGTAGGAGCCAATATGAGCATCCAGGTTCCGCTATTGGTTATTGACCGGAGACATGTCTCGGTCATGTCTACATAGTTCTTGAACCCGTAGGGTCCGCACGCTTAAAGTTCGATGCTAGTTATATTATGAGTTTATGTGTTTTGATATACCGAAGGTAGTTCGGAGTCCCGGATGAGATCGGGGACATGAAGAGGAGTCTCGAAATGGTCGAGACGTAAAGATCGATATATTGGACGACTATATTCAGACATCGGAAAGGTTTCGAGTAATTCTGGTATTTTTTGGAGTACCGGAGAGTTACGGGAATTCGCCGGGGAGTAGATGGGCCTTATTGGGCTTTAGGGGAAAGAGAGAGGAGAGGCTGCCCCCCCAAGGCCTAGTCCGAATTAGACTAGGGGGAAGGGCGGCGCCCCCTCCTTCATTCTCTTCTCTTTTTCCCTTTCCTTGTCTACTACTCCTACTACTTGGAAGGACTCCTAGTTCTACTAGGAAAGGGGAATCCTACTCCCGGTGGGAGTATGACTCCCCTAGGGTACGCCATAGAGAGGGCCGGCCCTCTCCCACCTCCACTCCTTTATATACGGGGAGAGGGGCACCCCTTGAAGACACAACAATTGATCTCTTGATCTCTTAGCCGTGTGCGGTGCCCCCCTCCACCATAATCCACCTCGATAATATCATAGCGGTGCTTAGGCGAAGCCCTGCGTCGGTAGAACATCATCATCGTCACCACGCCGTCGTGCTGATGAAACTCTCCCTCAACACTCGGTTGAATCGGAGTTCGAGGGACGTCATCGAGTTGAACATGTGCAGAACTCGGAGGTGACGTGCGTTCGGTACTTGATCGGTCGGATCATGAAGACGTACGACTACATCAACTGCGTTGTGCTAACGCTTCCGCTTTCGGTCACTCTCCCCTTTCGTTGCTATGCATCATCATGATCTTGCATGTGCGTATGAAATTTTTAAAATTACTACGTTCTCCAACACATTTGTGCCCCTATTTTGTTTGGTCGTAGTTGAGACTGTCTTCTCGCCCTCCTTGGTAGCGATTTGTCCCGATCGTGGGTCACTATCTTCTTTTGGTCTTAATCATTGACTTCTCGACCGCTGATTCTTAAAGCTTGTGGGTTACAACAAGATTGCTCCAGTGAGACATGGGCCCATAGATGCAACGATTGGTCGCAATGCGCCAATGGTGGAAGCATAAGGAAGGCAACAATGATTTCTTAAAAGACTTGCCTATAATTTATTATTTTTAGAAAACTCATGTAAAGGCTGATTTTATCTACTCCCTCCATTTTTCAATACAAGGTCATTCCGCTTTTCGTGTCAAAATTTGACTTGTAATTTTGGTCAACAAATATGGGTTTATGTCAAAAAACATCATTAGAAAAGTACTTTGAAATGTGCATCCAATGACATACTTTTTATGGCACATAACTCACATTTTGTTGTTGTCGGATGAGATAAACAGTTTCCCTCCATGCGACCTCCGAGTTAGGGTTTCCTTGCCTCTTGTCGGCCGCGCCACCGGTCCGCTTCTTCTCCTATGGTCCTTGGATCTGCGGTGGATTTCGGGCCTTGCCGGCGGGAAGGCTCCGTTTTTAGTTTTGCTAGAGTTTGTGCCATGCTCAGGAAGACGAGGCGGCGGGGGCTTCTTGAAAATGAAATAAGGTCCTCCCCGTCTAGCCCCCGCCCTGACAATGCTTCTAGCATCGTTGGAGGGCATGTGGTGGTTTATCTCCAACGGATCTCGTGGGATCGGTTGGCCTTCTTCTTCGGTGGATTCCGCCTTCGTTCGTCTACGTATATGTGTTTGCAGGTTGGACCATTTCGATCTAGGCTTCTCTTCATCGGCGGCGGCGGTTGTTGTTCTAGTGCGCTGTTTCTATGGGGTCTCAGCACAACAACTTTTCGACTGTCTACTACAACAAAATTTGCCCTGCTCCAATGAGGGAGGGGCGATGACGGCGGCGCATCTTCGGCTCGTTCGAGTACTTGTAGTCGTTGCTAGGTGGTCTACGGACCTAGATGTAATTCTTACTTCTGGTGTTCTAGGTACTACCTTGACAATTGATGAATAGACCGGAAATTTCTCAAAAAAATCACTTTTTGCCGGTGAAAACAATGGTCAAAATTAGACATAAAAATATGACACACCGTGCTTTTCTTTTGAGGGGTTACACACCATGCTGCTTTGGATATGGGCTCAATCACATGGGTGATGACTTGTATCCACACGCCATGCTAGGCCCGCCAAGGCCCAACTAACTTCTGGCGAGCCACGTCGGGCGTGTCAAATTCTGCTCCAGTCTTCCCTACGAAAATAGACGGTGAAAAGAAAAGAAAAAAAAATCTAGAACCTTCCCTGGCTGCGGCGAGCCCACGAAATCCAACGACTGCCAGACCGCCACGGCCCTCCCCGGAAGGAAGGAAGGAAGGAACCAGGGAATCCACACCCGCGGCGAAGGTAATCCCCGCGAGGGCGGCGAGGGGAGGCGAGGGAATGTTGTGGGAGTGGGAGGACGGCGACGAGGCGGCGCGGACGGGCGAGGAGGTCCCCGTCGATTTCGACTTCTTCTCCTTCTTCGCCAAGCCCAAGGTGAGGAATCGCCTCTGCCCCTTCGATTCATCGCCGGCTTGGTTTCCCCTAGGGCAGGCCGCGCGAACCCCCGCCGCTTTTCGGGTTGTTGGATTATGCGTTTTTATTTAGGGGGGCGGATCGTGTTCATGGAATGCTGTTGCTGCCAATCGAGTCCCTAATCTTTTTCTGTTGGATGAGGTTGCTGACGGCGAAATTTTCGCGTGCAGGATTACTACAAGATACTGGAAGTTGATTATGATGCGTCGGAGGAGACAATAAGGTCGAGCTACATCCGTCTTGCGCTGGTCAGTGTTTGCCCCAGCACGCCATTCTACATGTTTTCCCCTTCGTAAAGCGTGCGGTCTGAAATCCTGCGACGGAAATCGCTTACCTGAAACTGTATTGATGTCAATAGTTACAATCTCAATAAGGAAACCTTAACCTAGAAACACTGCTTTAATTTTTTTGCTCATCATGCAACTACTTCTAGGTTTCTATTATAGAATTTTTACTTTTGTATTTCGCATTGACGCCTTCACCGTAGTGACCAATCTACTATTTTCTCCTGTAGAAATGGCACCCTGACAAGAAACAAGATGAAGAAAAGGCAACATCCAGATTTCAGGACATTAATGAGGCATACCAAGGTGCGCTTTGGTAGTTGATAAGTTATTCAGTATCCTCATGTTCAACTCGGAGAATCTACATAATATTTTAACCGTTTTATCATGATGTGCAAGCAGCATATCATCTAATCACTTGCAGTTTGCCCCCTTCTTTTCTGCTTGCTTCTAATATCCAAATTTATTAGGAACATAGCAAATGTGATAGTGTACTAATGCGCAAGAGTTCATCTACGAGTAATCCTAAACATTGCATTAGATTACATGGGAAGTTCATTTGGTCCCTTTATAATTTAGACGCTGCTGAATTACCTGGATTTTGCAGTACCTGGTGGAGTTTTACGATATGACTGCCATAAGACTAAGAATAATTTTGGTACCATTCGTGAGTTAGAAGATGTCAAGCGTGGTTTCAAATTGCGATAAATTTGTTTAGGGACTAAATAGTTCTGTGTTGTACAGTTTGCACTTGCTTGGGGGCACATCATCCTGTGTTAAATCAGTGAAAGATATCCCCAGTTAGCCAACCTCTTGGAACTCATCTACGTCCATTTAGGGCAAGTCAGTCATTGCCTCACGCAAACAGGCCATCAAACTATGCATTTAGATCATACTAAGAAACTAGTGGAAACGATTTATTTGGTCATGACATTTGAGCCAGACTTGTTGCACACCTTGGAGGGTGGTCGCATGCATTAGTAGTAAAAGCTGGCCATCATTTGTTGATCACTGCGCAATGTAATTATTTGCGGTTTTGCACTGACTGTCAAAATACGTTTCTTATATAACCATTTTTTTCGCTAAAGAATGTTCTTCCACGATGCATCTGCTTTAGCCTTCTATCTAGAAACCGAGATAAACAAGGATGATACATCAGGTGCTTCATTCATGACATCTCTTGTTTTTGACAGTTCTTAGCAATCCAGTAAAACGGCAGGAGTATGACAAGAAAGGTGTTTTATACGTTCAGGATCAGAATGCAGCGGTGAGTACCCCCCACCCCACCCCACCCCACCCACCCCTGACCATCACCACCACACGCAAATCTTCTTGTGACATTTTTTTTTTACTTTCAGGATTACCTGAACCGACACAAGGGTTTAATACTTACATGCAATGGCCTTGGTGTAAGGTACTCGGTGTGGTGAGCTTTTTCAGGGGTACAAGGGTCTGCGTCTATGTGCTTTCGTGGCTGATGTGTGTAGTTGTAAAATCCCACCTACTTCACAAAGTTTAGCACAGTACTACCATCTGGTGGGGGCTTAGCGTTTCATCCTACGACAGACATGATTTATATTTGTTGATTGTCTGTTGTAGGTTGCAGGAGGCATAGATGCCCTATGTTGCACATTTGCTCCTGAAACACTGTTCCCATCCTATGAAATGAAAGCATCTGTGTTCATGAATGCCTTGCCATTTTACTCATAGCATTGAGTGTGGTTGGATGTCAGAAAATGCTTACTGTTTACCGCTGTGTTCTTTACTCCCCAAATTTCTTCCCTTACAAGGGAAAAATAGATATGGTTATAGTCCTGGCATTGTATTTTCCTTTTCACTTACTCCCTCTGTAAACAAATATAAGACGTTTTAGGTCACTAGTGAACTAAAACGTCTTTATTTGTTTATGGAGTGAGTATCTTATAGGAGTGATAATTGGTCACCAAGTAACTTATCTTTTACTTGGAGAAATGCTCAGTGAAATGAATCAGTTTTCTCTTACCTTATACTCCCTCCGTTCCCAAATGTAAGTCTTTTTAGAGATTTCAATAAGTGACTACATATGGAGCAAAATAAATGAATCTACACTCTAAAGTATGTCTACATACATTCGTATGTTGTAGTCCATTTGAAATGTCTAAAAAGTCTTATATTTAGGAACGGAGGGAGTAGTACATTGGTGCTTATTATTCTGAAGCTCGAGTGCTTGATTGGGCACCAATGCTCAAGAAGTGGTTATATTATTATTATTTTTGCGGCAAAGAAGTGGTTATATTTAACCTGTACTGTTGTACATAAGCACATCTTAAGAGTATGAATGCATGTGATAAATTATCTAAGCACCAACGATGAGAGGGCTCACATTGGAGCAGATAAAATTTACAAGGTGGTTGATCATGTGGCTATATTCTCGCACACATCTAGACACGTAGTGTACAGGCCCTCCAGCCCCAGAAATCATGAGGCCCTCAAACTTTGTCGCCCTGCCTCATTTTCAGCTCAGAACTTTGCCAACAAATTTGGAGGGTTTAACATTGTAGATGGTTCTGAGTGACTGTAAATCTTGCCAACAAGACTTAGGAGAAACGGGTGAAAAGGTTGCTGTGCTGAAGCAAATAATCCATCCGACATTTTAACATTTTGGCGCTTCTAGTCAGGATCATGAACGCTGGGTGAGCAAACACAATTGGGAGTTTCGAGCAAGCACACTAGTAAAACTCAGATCTCTCATTACAGTTGATTGATGAGAGGAAACAGCTTACAACACAACTTGTTTCTTTCTTTCAGCAATAGTTGAAAAAAGAAGACGGCCTAAAATAATAAGCTGGCTGTGAAGCCTAAACGTATGCTAAAGCATCATCACTCTTCCCCTGCTCAAATGATATTGTTTTTCAGATCTTCAAATTTCGCAAACAGTTCGTCTCTGCTTTCCTGCGCATAGTGAAAGCCGATCATTAAGCGCGCGCACCAGGCATGACTGACACTGGTTCTGTAATGATATAATTGGAAACATACCTTAAAGAGGAGGTACCGTGTGATGAACCAGACTGAGTAGCCAGTTCCTACGATTTCCAGCACATTTGGAAGCTGCAACAGGTAATTCGCATGGTTTATCATACGTGGAGCAGTAAGTTTTTGAGTACACACAGATCTATCCAGCGATGGCATAACCACGTACCAGGGGAACAGAATCCATTCCAGAAATGATTTTAGATAGGATCAACAGAGCAATCAAAGCACCGCCTCCGAGGATGACAGTAGTGGGTGTCACTTGGATGTCCAACTGAAATGAGCAGGCCCAAAGTAAGTGTGACTGTGTGAGCAACAAATAGCAATCAACTGGTTCCAAGACTGCAGAATGTATTCAGGAACATACAAAGGTACATAATATCTTTATCAAGTTCAATCTGGAAAGTAGAAAACTGAGGTTAATGTATTTCAGCAACAGAATATAAGTTATTTTGCGTGGCGTCTGATTAGTACAGTGCAACTTCATAACAGTTTGTGCAAATGGAGCTCTAGATCTCGGCATATCTTGCATTAGATCCTAGCCACCCAGCTTAGCGATTCTCAAATCACATTTGCATGTTGGCGGCATAGCCATTTTCGCACAGCCATGTTGTACTTTTGTGTGCTCCTGAATACTAGATTGCAATCCAAGGGAGGCGTCTAATTGCAGTTGTTAATATGGCGGTCGATATTGAATTCTGTCCATGTTTCCAAACGTAGGAGTGGCCCTGAAGCTTGCATATCCTCTACTCTCTTTTTTTTTTTTTGCGGGGATATCCTCTACTCTCTAATAAATACTCCCTCCGTCCCGAAATACTTGTCATTGAAATTGATGTGTCTAGATGTATTTTAGTTCTAGATACATTCATTTTCATCCATTTTGATGACAAGTAATTTCGGACGGAGGGAGTACTAATAAACAGATATATAGAAGCAAAGCAGCAAAGGAGGAGTAAACCTTGCCGAGTAGGTCGTCCACGCCGCCATCCGCCTCGGGCGACGACACCGGCGCATCTTCCATCGTCACCTCCACAAATCCACCGGAGACCTCCCCGTCCGGCGCGTCGGGCTTGTCCGTGACGACGGTAGTGGTGGCGGACCCCGACGCCGACGCGGGCTCCTCGGACGGCACCGGGTCAGGCCTGGTCGGCGCGGCGGAGCGGCAGCGCCAGCCTCGTCGGGCCGGGGCGCGGAAGGTCACGGAGGCAGGGAGCGGCCGGCGGTGGACGCGGGCCGAGGATAAGGGAGCGGAGGCCGCGGTTGTGGAGACGAGGACCTCCATGCTTTCCTCTCTCTCTCTCACTCAACACTGCTTTTTTCTTTTTCTTTTCTGTGGAGGGCGACCAGCTGGTTTCTGGGGTTTGAGGTTTCGGCGAGCTCCCGGGGAGGATGAGGGGTGGTGGGCTGGCTGCCTCGCTGACGCACAGCCGTGTGCTCCACGGTCCACACTGAGAGTGTGTAGTGCAGTGCCGGTGCTGGTTTGTCTTTGCCGCTGGAAACACAGCAGGCGCCGCTTTCCTCGGCCCCGCGCCCGTGCTTCTCGTTGCGCTCTTTGGCTTTGGCCGGACCCCCGGCTCTCCTTTTCTCCGTCTTTGCTTTTGGAAATTAATGATGTTGGTTTTGGGATCTGTATAAATCAGCGTACGGTTCGATTGGCCTCTCGAATATGCTGGAATTCATTCATTCATTCATTGTGCTAGAATACAATGGCGTGAATAGTGGTTGTGGTGGTAGTACAGGTGGAGCGTCATGGTTCCTCTGTTTTGAAAATGACTTGTCTGGCTTTACCAGAATTCGTAGAAACCAGATACACAACAACCATACAATGCAAAATGAACATTTCGATCTGAATTTAATTGAGGCGACCTCCTCTATACAATGCAAAATGGACACTGTATGTAGGCTGCGTCGTTTAATTGGAACCGGAGGGAGTAGCTTTTTCTTTATGTAATATCTTGTGTACTTGCGCCGACGCATGTACCTCGTCGGGCAGTATGAAATTCATGTCATTGGCGGGCCTGACTGCCAACATTAACAGAAAAATTCATGTCCCTTGAGGCGACTCTTGGAGATCCATAAATATGGGCGATCGTCACACATGCAGGCTACCAAACAATATGTACAACATTGTTTTTGGCCTGTATTTACTCGCCCAACTAAGTCATAGACGCAGAGACTCCAAAATACAACCTATCAAACACGCCCTTAGGCCATGTTTGGTTCAGAAGTCCTAGGACTTTTTTTAGTCTCAACTTATAAGTCTCAAATCCCTAAAAAGCCCCTACCTGTTTGATTCCTGAGACTTAACATGGACTAAAAGACCACATTACAACTATAAGTCCCTTCTTGAGAGTCTTATTTCATAAGTCCCAAATGCCCTTTTAAGTCCCTAGGGGTTGTTTGGATACGGGATTTATGCCAAACCTGTTTTCACTATTCACGTTCAGGATTCTAACCGCCTAAAACTATGTTTGGTTGATCCAACAAATCTCAGGATAAGGAAAACTTGGTTTCCCATAAACCAGGAAAACGAGTATTTGGAAAAACGACTAATACTCGTTTTTCTACAAACCAGTTTAGCTTATCGTTCGTTTCAATCAGACTCTAGCTTCCATGAGACATGCGCCGGTGGGTAGCGTTCAAGTACGTCTACTAGGGCAAGGTTAGCCCCGTTCCAGGTGCCCTGACTGCTCCTCAGCGAGGACGACGGCCGCGTTTCTCCTGTGACCGTGGGAGTGCTCGGCGCCGCTGCGGTCGTCGTGTGTGTGACGAGACGAGATGTACATGGCTTTGCTGGAAACGACGGCGTGCAGCGTCCAGTACAACAAGGTCGCATTCCGATTCCAGGTGCTGGTGTGAGTGCCCCGGCTGCTGCTCGCTCGACCGTCATCCGTCAACGAGGTGAGCAAATCCAGCAAGTTGGTGCCGCCGGCGAGCCCACCATTCTTACCGTCAGTGAAGCAGCAGGTGGGGCAAGCGACGGCCTGGGACCTCCTCAAGGAGCGGCTACTCGAGCAGTCCAGCTCTGTCCCGTGCCCACGCCGTTCAGCCTTGAGAACACCTACCTCGCGCGCTCTTTTGCGTCGCGTAGATCAGCTGAAGACGAGGCCGACAGAGAGCAGCACGGTAGGGTTGATGGCGGTGGTGACGCCGCCGAAGACCAGCTTGTCGCCACCGGCGTCCCGGCCTGGTCAAACGCAAGGAACAGTGCAACCTCCGTCACGTCGTCCGCGCGGCGCGCGCAGCACCTTCCCACGCAGCACGTTGTGCGTCTCTGTCATGGCCTCCGTCTCCTCGGCGCTCACGGCCACCACGGCGCAGCTCAATGACGTAGCGCCTGAGTTCCCCGGCGGTCACATGCACCAGGCCCTGCATCGGCCAGCAATTTGATGGACATGACGTGATCAAGCACGCCCAACTCCATGTTCGTGATAGGCATGTCGAGAGCTGCGGAATGTGTCGTGGTCGACGTGCTGGGCATGGTGCCTCCCATGTGAACAGCTTGAAATCTTTCTCAAGGTTGAGGATGACCCAAAAGAGACAGTCCAAACAAAGTATTCTATAAACTAGTTTTAATAAAACAACAACTTAAAACTGGTTTTCCTAAAAATACTCCTAAAACTGATTTAGCTAAAACTGGTTCCAAATACTAGTTATCCAAACAATCACTGTAAGTCCTTCCTGTTTGGTTTAGATGGGACTTATAGGGATTTTTTTAAGTCCCTAAACCAATAAGTCCCTGAAACAAATACCTTCTTAGACTCAGTCTTGCCTGTGGCGGCATCGACGTTGATATTAACCCAACCTCGGGGCGGAGGTATCCAATTAATAGTCGGTGCACTCTCTACCAGCCATATATTCGTCTTCTGTTGAACCTCTAGCTCTGCCATACAGCTTTCAGGAAAACCCATCATCCAGAAAGGGCTTTAGATTATATACTTATAATATACTCACTACCAGTGATCTAAAAGGTCTTAACTTTTTTTTTAGAGGGAGTACTCCAAAGGGTGTGACTAATGCCTCAATTAACTCACAGTGGGACAGTTTGTCAATTAGAGAGAGTATCCAATCCTCTGCTTTGATTTTCATAACTCATAGCAAGATCACAGTGGTGTAATGCACTTGGACATAGTACATTCCACCATAGAATGCCTGCATGATCTTGTATACCGTATACAAGGCAGCAGCGATCCTGCTCCCAACTCTTTAGATAACAAATTAGCTGGCCTGCGGGCTGTTGATCTGAACTCAAATTGAAGCGTTGCTGGTAGATGTCGATCCTGACTAACTTACTGAATTCTAGTCTAACATTTTTAAAATCAAGTTTAAGGAGTGCTGAAATTTGTAAATTTGCTTTTATTGATTCAAGAAAAAATCATTCCCCCCTCGTTTGCACAAAAAGAAGTTTTGAGAAGCATCAAATCATGACATTTGCACAGATGTATCCAACCACAGGTCTCTTTCATTTTTTTTGTTGCTACAATGCAAAACAAAGTTCACATAGAAATAAGGAAAAGAGAAGGGTTACTCCCAACCTCATTATCCATACTAAGGTAGAATGAAGTTAGTTCCTTCCTGGCGGTACGATTTCATGCTGCCCATTATTTTGAGCAACCTGCTTAGAAAACGGAGGTCTGTGCTCTTGTACTGAAGGACCTCTCTGCATAGTTTCTCTTCGCTCAACCTGCATAGTCTCTCGTCGCCTGTCATAGCGGGGACGAGGTCTGCTCCTTACCTGCTGCCTCTCAGTGAACTGAAATTGTGGCCTATGAATGACTTTGCCATCTACAAAGAGATCACCTGTTTGAAGTAGTAGCCTAATATAAGTAAGAGCGAATAATCACAACATATAATTTGGGTGGAGATGAAGATCAACGATAGGACGTTAGGTGCACAAGGAAGAACAACATACATGATAGAAAATGGATGTCCTCCACTTGTAGATGTATACGTAAGCACAAGTACTACCATCATCATCAAATATGCCTCAGAGATTAATTTAGACTTCCATAAAGACCACAATCCAATTTTTACCAAAAAAAAGCCCTTGCAAAACATCACTGTACATTTGGAGGGCTAAGTAGTACATGTACCACATATATAAGTGGTTTTGCATTTTCTACATAATATGATCAGAGCGTTTAAGCCAGGTGTGGAAGTTAGTACATGAGAATAAGTAATGACAAGTACTAACCTCCATAATCCTTGTTAGGCACATCCAAATATGAATCAGGTAATACCCAAAGAACTCCCGGCAATCCTGAATTAGCAACATTATAACAATACAAAATTCAGTTGAAACATGATTTGGCAACAATATCTTGCAGAAAAGTAGAGCCAAACAATTTTCACCTTTAACTTTGTATGATAACTCCTCCGAAATCAACGCACCAAACCCTGTGTAAGTTGTAGTGCATACTGAGTAGATCTTCTTCTTTGCCTCCTCCTCACTGCATAAAACAATTAAAATACATATCCATTCAGTTATTACTTATTAGAGCATTAAAATTCATTAAAAGAGCACACATCAACCTAAAAGAATGCACTAGAAGATACACATAGCTTAAAGTTAGTAGTTAGAGCATGACACATAAACCTAAGGAATGGATCGATAAGGGTAAACATGATATTACATTCAAACCCCAGAAACAGATCTTCAATGGTGGACAGCCTTGTTCACACAAAATTAACAAGCATTTTACTTCGCCATAGCCAAAAAAAAAAACTTTCAACTACCAGTAATCATGGAGAGATAGACATAAGCATTTAAATTGGATGGACTATTCTATTCTGGCCAACTCCAAGTAATAAGGTGATCAGGTGGTCCAGAAAAGAAAGGCTGTCCTGTTGAGGCAACTAGATTTCCTACATGATAATGATATCCCACAATTTGGGGACTAACAATCTTTGTAGTACAAGGCACGAAGAGATAGCTGTCTCTAAGTCCATATTCAGTTAATGGAAAGGGGTTATGCCCAGTTAAAAAAAAACTCTCTCTAAGTCCTCAGATAGGGCAGAAGAGAGTCATCTTTATTTATTTTTGCTAGAGCCACATAATCATGACAACAAATAAACCAAAGGGGTATTGTGTTGGATACTTTCCAAACAGAAAAACTGCTCCAACAGTCTTACAACTTGGATAGTGTCAAGCAGCCTTTGGACATACTTAGGTAACCTAAAGGGCAAGCTTTTCACGCTTATAGGCCTGACATGTTCTCCTATAAGCTGGTTAATCCTCGCCATAATTTATAGGAAATAACTACTTCCAAGGAAGGATGGCTAAGCGATTGCTTGACTTTAGATGAGCTTGTTTAGAATTTTATTTTGCGTATTCATCTCTAACTGATGACACTTAGATAACTAGGAAACCTGATTCTGAGGAAATAAACTAATGGGAAATGAACATACAGGAATACCACAATCTTAAGGATTGCGCAAGTACCATAGGGTGCTGTTCCTGTGAGCAATTGTTATGGCTAATGTGTGACAAGCCAATGCAAGCAGCACAGCCCAGACAGCTATTGGTAATCAGGAAACACATAATTGTATTCATAGGGAAAGAGTTATAATAATAGGAAAAAAGATGTCACTAATTAGAAAGTTGGAGATCAAGTGTGTTAGTTAAATTGTAAATCCCCAGGCTCCTAACCCCAACCCCTGGACATCAGAAGAATTCTCCCTGTCTCTCACGCCGTAAGCTCATCCGCCTTCCCCCTCCGCCCCCGTCCTTCATCTTGTCCTCCACCGTTCCACTCGCGAGCATCCCCTAGTCGATTTCATTCATCCACTGCTCGTCTCCATCTCTACATCTGCTCCCATGGTTTAACTAAGGTTCACTCAGATCTGGGCGACTAGGGTTCACGCTCTGAGGAAGGATCAGAGGTGACGGCTAATGCTCGTGAGGAGAGTGTAACATGAGGCTATTCCCGTTTCAGTTACATGCAAGATTGGTCTTTAAGAGTGCCGCCGACGGCGCCGGCAACTGTTGGTGATGGTGGATGTAAAGACGGCAAAGACCACTGTGACGGCAGGGATGCATGTCCACAGGGAGCTGGCCGGCGGCAAGATCTGGATGTGCCTCCCTCAAAACTGGGAAGCCACTAGGGTGGTCGTGTGCCTATCCATGGCATGGGTACTGATGCGATAGAGAATGCTCCATTTCAGTGTTCAGTATGCTCTTTCTCTGTAGCATGAGATTATCCCTTGGAGCTAATCAGCCAAATGACGGTGCTAATTCTCCACAGGTTTTTCTATTTGGCCAAGAAATTTCAACCAGGGCATCTCTTTCCTGGGAATATCACCCCTAGCATCCAAATGAAGCCTAAGTGCAGGTCCCATATGAGCAAGCGAGGGCTCGCCCACGCAGCTCATATCGGGCACCACGTGCTCCACATCGCCTCGGCCGTCTGCCCTAGAGATATCTTCAAACACACCGATGTCGGGAAGGCGTTGTGGGCGAAGAGGGACTGTGCCATCTGGCTCCATTACGAGGAGAAACAGACAGACTTGGCGGCTGACGGGGAGTGCATCAGATGGCGCACAGTCGACATGAACATGGTGTCATTCACCGAGACAAAGCGCGCCATATTGGGGCTTGCCCATCTTAAAAAGGCCATCTCCGACCTCAGCAATCGCTGGCAGGAATGGGACGAAGACGAGGTCGCCGGACCGCACACCCCCGTGCGTAGAGGATGAGTTGACTCGTCACATATGCATGTGCACCGTGCACTGCATTCACCATTGTCTTGGTAGGTAGCAACTAGTGCTTCTCCCAAGATGTAGTAAAAAAATGTCGCTAATCAACTTTTCTACCTCCATGTAACCACTTTGTAATGCGATATTATCTCAAATTAGTGTTTTAATCCCTTAAACTGGGCGTGTATTTTGAGTTGATGCAACAACAAAAAAACAGAAAAGAGAAGATATGAAGGCTGCATTATGGCAACTCTGTGTTTGCGCACAGCAGCCGCAGGCACGGCCTCTATATGGATATGAAGCGCGCTTGATATCCCATATGAGACCGGGGATACCGCGACTCTGCTAGAGTTGGTCTAATATTGATTGGGACTATGAAAGATCCACCCTAGTCGTAAAAGATTAAATTCGATAGGGTTGACCAATAGTAAGACCAGAGAAGTGCGTATACCTTCCGAGCACAGCGGTGAGGGTCTTGACGTAGGCGGCCACCATATCTTCCTCGGAGGGCTTGGGGTCGGCGGGGAACTCCATGACAATGAGCCAGTGCTCGTAGTCGCAGCCATCCAGCAGGATGGTCTCCTTGGGTGGCCGGTTGCTCCAGTTCGGGGACGGGTCGTTGAGCGGAGAGTACCCGGGCCTTCCCGGCAGCGCCGTCTTTGCCCCTCGCGACGGCGGCGCCCACGGAGAGGGGTGGGCTGAGGGCGCAGAGGCGGCGGCGCCGGTGAGGAGGAGGAGGCGACGGGGAATCGCGCGGGAGGAGAGGAGGAGCGCCGAGAGCCTCCGGCGTGTGACGGCTACAGCCGCCATGGTTGGGGAATTTGGGAAGAATCGGGCGAGGAGGGTTTGCACTTTTTTTTTAGACAAATGAGGGTTTTGCGCTGGTGCGCGAGACCGACGCGTCTGGTTCGGGCCCAGAGTCCCTAGTGCCTTGTTGGGCTAAATCCATGTGGGTTGGCACGGGGCGTGGCCCAGTCCACGTAGGCCATCCTACCGGGGACTGTTACGCATGTTGAAATTTACGAATCACTAATTAAGGAGTACTATTTGCAAAGGTCACTCCCACCTTCCAACGCTCCGAGAAGTATCACACGGCACGTGCATCATTTGTCGCAACATGAGAATTTCCCCTTTTTCTCCTAGATTTGTTTATTCAAAATGTTTTATCTCTTAAACCGCGCGTCCAAATCTTGAATCATTTTCATCGTTGGATTCCTTACATCGAGATCTTAAAACTAGATCACATGTGATAGGTTTTGATGAATTTTTTTTGCAGGAAAAAATGAATGAACAAGCCCGAACCGGGAGCACTTTTTTCTCTTTTCGAGAGGCATGACTGTGCCTCTCACAGAAGCAAATCCATGCCTTCATGAGAAGTAAATCCGTGTCTCTCGCGAGAGGAAAAACATGCTTTATTTTACCTTTTCCGATGCCTCTTGCGGAAGCAAATCAGTGCCTCCACGAGAATAAGTCCGTGTCTCACGTGGTAAGAAAAAACATGTTTTTTTTCTTTTGCGAAATGCATGGTCGTGCCTCTCGCGTAAGCAAATCCGTGCCTCCACGAGAAGTAAATTACGTGGCTTTTGAGGAAGGAAACAAAGAAAACACATCTTTTTTCTTTTCCGAGAGGTATAGTCATGCATCAATTTTTTTCAAAAACATAAGAAAACCCAAAGGAAAATTGAAAAGCCAAAAAATCTAAAAAAATAATGCAAAGGCAAAAAACGCACACAGAAAAATAGAAAAAATCCGGAGGAAGCGCCCAAATCGCTACACATGGTGGCGGAAGCGAGCACGCCAAGTGGCACGTCTCCCAACCCCCCAACTGTCCCAACTGATCCTTGCGGGAGCTCCCGAAGGAGTACTACTTGATTAGTTACTCTCTGAAATTTGGTTGTTTGGTTTGGATCAGGGCGCGCGAGACATGGTGGCGGATGAGACCAGCTCATGGGAGGCACAACCTCCTTACTTTTCTATTTTTTTTCATTTTTGCCTTCCTTTTTTACTTTTGCTTATACTTCCAAATAGTCTAAATATATATATTACAAAAAACACTTTACATAAAATATTTACAATGTTAATCTAGCATTTGTAAAATATTAAATGTGTTTAGAATTATTATTTTTCATGTATAAAAAAAGTATACAAAATAATACTACGTGTATGAAAAACTTGGTGATGTATTTTAAAAAATTAACCAAGTATTTTAAAAAGCTAATTATCTATTTAAAAATGTTAAATGTGTATAAAAATGTTTTTGATGTATAAAAAAAGTAGAATGTGTATTAAAAAGTTGGAGATAAATAAAAATGTTGATCATGTATCATCAAAATGTTAATAATGTGAAAGAATGTTAACCATGTATAAAAAATTTACTGATATATACTATAAATATACAATGTATATGAAAAACTTGTCATCAATTTTTTTAAATGTGTCGTCTATTTAAAAAGTGTTAACGTGTATAATAAATATCCTGGTTTATACGAAAAATATTGAATGTGCATTAAACACTATGAGCATAAAAGCGTATTTTTTAAAAAATGTTGATCATATATAAAAAATGTTAATAATATGTTTAAATTGTATAAAAAAGAGTTTCTGATATATACCAAAATGTACTATGTGTATGAAAGGGTGGTCATCAAGCATAATTTTTAAAATGTTTCAGATGTATACGCAAAGGGTACAAATGTGTATGAAAAATGTAGAGGTGTGTTGAAAAAAAAATCTGTGAAAAACGAAGAAACAACAGAAATATGTTAGAAAACAAAGAAAAATTAAAACCCAAAGAAAACTGTAAAACCCATGAGGAAACGAAGAAAAAACCCCAAAGAAATCTGATGAAAACTAAGAAAGAAACAAAAAACAGGATAAATATAAAGAAAAGGAAAAACAATAAACATTGAGAAAAGAACAAAAAAAGGAAAATTCATTAAAAGCTGGAATAAAACGAAGAAAATTGTGAAAAAACCAAAATAACCGAAGAAGAAAAACCCAGCGAAGAAATTGAGAAAACCACTGGAGTGATCAACAGAGGTGGAGGAACCCTGGTGATGCCGGAGTACGGGGCTCTTGCTCCCTCCTCTCTCGCTGTTTCACTTTGCCGACTAAGGTTTCGAGTCACTACGGGGAAGGGGAGGGTTGATGGGAATCTTCAAATGCATCCACTCGTTCTATTGCACGATTGAGCTTACAAATTCATATGTACCCCCTTCGTCCCATAATATAAGAGCGCTTTTGACACGTGTCAAAAGCACTCTTATATTATGGGATGGATACTACTTAAGTAATGAATCTCTTAAATAAGAAAAGATGCATCAACTTCCACTAAAAAGGTTGACTTTTTTTAAGGAAATGAAAAAAAGGTTGACCTTAAATATGCATCTCGATCTCAAAATTAAAAAATGCATCTCGATGTTCTTGTTTTCTCTTCCAATAATAATTTGCAGGAAAATGTTTTACTAATTTTTTCTAAGAACTGAAAACAGTTTGTCTAATTCACATTAGATGTTTTTTAAGGATGTCACAACTAAACTCTCACGAATAACGCAGCAACAAGGAAAAAAAAAGCTGGGACAAAAAAAAAATAGACCACAAACATTCGGCCGAGACCCTGGTCAAACCGCCCGTAAAAAAAAAAGACCCTGGTCGAACCGAACCAAGTAGAACGGGCCGTGCGTGCCTGCCCGTCTCACGCTCTCTTCCCCCACCCGACCCGGCGGCGACCCCCATCCCATTCGGCCGACCATGGCGACACGGCCGGAGCTGATGGACGACCTCCTCGGCGAGGTCCTCCTCCGCCTCCCGCCGGACGAGCCCGAGCACCTCTTCCGCGCCGCCATCGTCTGCAAGTCGTGGCTCCGCATCGTCTGCGACCCCGCCTTCCGCCGCCGCTACCGCGCCTTCCACGGAGCCCCTCCCCTCCTCGGCCTCCTCCACCTGCTCCAGGTCCTCCAAGGAAGCCCCGCGCACCGCTTCGCCTCCACCACGTCGATGCCGGACTTCCCCTACCCGGGCTCCGACGGCGAGGGCGAGCACCCCACCCCCCTCGACTGCCGCCACGGCCGCGTGCTCTACCACTTGGTGCAGGGCGACAGCCTGGTTCTCGTCGTCTCAGACCCCGTCACGGGCGACCGGCGCGTTCTGCCCGCGCCGGGCGTCGATTGGTTCATCTGGACCGCCGCGGTGTTCTGCGCCGCCGATGGCTGCCGACATCTCGACTGCCAAGGCGGCCCCTTCCGCGTGGCCTTCCTGGGCACCGGCAACGACGACCGTGTCGTTAAGGCGAACGTGTACTCATCGGTGACAGGTGCGTGGAGTGCGCCAGTATGCCTCGACGATGGCTGTGAAGGCTATGCCCAGCTCAAGCGAGATGACATTGCAAAAAACTTCTACCACCTACCCTATGTCATGCCTCGGCGAGTAGCCGTCATTGGAGATGCAGTCTACTTCACACTTCGGTCGGTTGACAAAATCCTCAAGTACAACTTGCCAAACAAGTGCTTCTCCATGATCAGCCAGCCGCCACACGATTTGGCCCCAATGGCTCTCATGGTGATGGAGGACAGTTCGCTGGGGTTTGCCTGCATCAACAATTCTAGCCTTTGTTTGTGGTCAAGGAAGGTGGATCCAGAAGCGGCTGCAGAATGGGTGCAATGCAGGGTCATCGAGCTGGAGAAAATTATACCAGATGTCGATCTCGATTGGGAACCATTTGTGGTTGGTTCCGCAGAGGGTGTGGGTGTCATCTTCATAAGCACAGATGCTGGCTTATTCGCCACAGAGCTAAAGTCAGGGCGAGTCAGGAAGGTTGACGAGCCGGGAGAGTACTTTAGCGTCCTACCCTACATGAGCTTCTACACTCCAGGTATAGGTGATAGCCCTTGCTTCTTGTCTGTTGACTGTTGTCTTGCATTTTCATTACAGCTTCTGTATGTTTGCTTAATTAGTTGTTTGTTGTTTGTGAATAGTTAGTTAGTCATGATGCAAGTAATATGTGTTAGTTATATGCACATATGGAGCTTGCGAAAGACAATTCTCTGCGCCAGAGAAAACTTAATATATGGCACTGGAAAACATAATGTTGTTTATGTTATGAGATTTGACATGTTAAGGATCATGACCATGCATTGCTCGAATATGCACACAAACATGTTGATCTGAATCCTGTTACCTTGTTTCAGCCTTTCTTATAAAATATATCTGTTACTTTGTGGCTTAGCTGAAGGTTACATCTCAAACTCTCAGTCTTGTAACCACTGGAATTGGTACTAGCACATAACTCACCAAAGTGGAATGCTGACTTGGAGTTAGTTATGAGTTTTGTGCATGCCATATTTTAGATCATGGCACATTGTCATCGCTAACAAGGATTAACTAAACAAAGTGCACTGCTAGTTTCTTTCCGAGCTGCTACTAATAAGTATGAAATCGTATATTCTCTGTTCAGCAGTTTACATACAAATTGTGCAAGTCCTTACGATCAATTGTTGCTGTCTTGTTGAATTCATCCTGATCGTAATGTCAAAAGGTTTTATGTCAGATTAATATGTGAGGCATATTTCAGTTACTGTTTGCCTAATGCTCGGCCCAGCTACTTGGAACAATTTTTGTGTGTAATCTATGTCGTTTCCCTTTCATGACATTTTAATATGACTTCAATGTTGATCTCGTCTTCAAAAGATCTGTCAAGTAGCAGTACCAGACTTTTTGGACAAACAATTGGTGATACAAGGATCCAACTCATAACTTAGTTTCACCACAAAACATTTATCATTTGTACATAGATTCTGACAGGTGTGGGACTCGGATGTTTCTTACTTTTGCTAGAAACTTGGAAACTGATGTCAGGGTTTGATGTCATAAAATAGAAGTCACCTCTTGTTTCTGTGGCCATTTCTGAATTCTGGACTCAGGTCCGGTTTTTCTTCTACCTGAAAACCTTTTGCTATTATATGGAGCGATCCATGGGATGAAATGTCTCCTTTTTGCTGCTGCTGTCGATTGGTCAAATAGTTGAAAGCATGAAGTGCCTGCTAGCTTAAAATGGAGATTGCTAAATATGTAGTCAACCTTGTTGATATTGTATTATCACTTTACCTTGCTTCAAATTTTTTCCGTTAAGATGCTTCAAGTTACTTTCTGGCACAGCTGAAGCTCACATATCACATGCAGTCTTATAACCTTTGGGACTAGTTATAAGTACAATGGCACATCAAATTATAAGTTCTGAGATGGACAGTTGGTTAAGAGTTTTGTGCTTGGTATTTTTTTTTTCAGATCGTGGCAGATTGTTGGCGCTAGCGAAGACTCATTGATCTCTGACGTACCGCTCAATAGTGATGCATTGCGAAATGGACAAACCCATCATCTTTAGTCTGCTGCCATTGGCTTCTTCCAATCTACTAACATCAGGTTGTTTAGTTTCTTTTGAGGAGTTTAAGCATGAAGGGTGCAAGTCAGCTGTGATCAGCCGTGGTTGTCCTCGTTCAGTTCATCATGATAATGTGGCTAGAGAGCTGTATTTTGGTTTCTAAAGCCGGTTTCTTGTCTGTTATGCAGTTTAAGTGTCAATCATGCAAGTCACCATGTTCGGATGTGGTTGTCGTGTCGAATTCGTCCTGATCATGCCGAGCGCGAACTGTATCTCTGTTCAGCATATCAGGCGTACCTCTGTTACTGTTTGGTTAAATTGCTCGAGTCGGCTACATGAAACTTGGAATTATGTGGGTCCTACGCCATTTCCATTTTTCTGAAAGAAATATTGTCGTTCGGTGTTTTCCGTGTCTTGTAAAGCGGCATCGATTAGCACTGTAAGAGTTTCTGGACACAACTGGAAAGTTTTTTTTTTTGTTTTCTGCTCGAGTCTGAATTGCATATGTATTGCTCTTGCTCCCTCTTCATTCTTTTGGATAAACAGTGGTTCAGAATACGTTGAAATGTGTTGCGGGTTATACTGATCAGACGACCATCATGCGCTCCGATGATTTTTCAAACGGAGTTACTAGTTCACTAGGGAGTCAGTCATGTGTTGCTGTGTTTCCAGGACATAATGCTTGCTAATGATCCGCTACATGCATAGATGATGGCATGCAATACTGTAGAAGGCAAATAGTGTGATGGATTTGAATTCTGAAACAGATTTTGGTGGATGATCCCCTGCATCAGCGAAGAGATGCAAAACTGATCTCCAAGGAATCCATGCCGGAGACGGTGGACAGTTTGTGTCAGCTTGTACTCCAGCTTCTTACGGCGCCCATGCTAGCAAGAAGATGGCCGGGCCCCGGGCCTGGGTTTGGGTTTCCCCTACATCAACGCTGGAGCTGCATTTCCACACCCTGCTGATCGATGTGCCGGTGTCTCTTGCGCCTGATCGAGTCTGTACTGTAGAAATAGCTATCTGTCGAGCTGTTAGGTTTTGCTGCTGGCCCGTGGCGTGTTTTCCACACACACACAAAAGAAGAGGCCAAGAAAAAGAGGAGCCGGAGATCGCCGACAACGGAGAAAAGAACAGCACCCGGATGGGGATAGGATGCGAATTGGCTAGATGTCACGTGACCCAAAATCCAATTTGGGTCAGTCGATTCGCTGTGAGCCGTTGGATGCAAGATGATGGCCAGATCAACTTTTCAGCTTTCGAAACGCTTCACTGTTCATCTTCTCCAATCTCGAATTGCCGATCTACCACCGGCTTAACCCCATCACCCTACCGCCAACTGCCTCCCATCATTGTGCCGTCGCCGCCCCCGACCATCCCTCCAACCCGGCCATGAACCATTTTTTTCCGGCAAAGCTGCACCCTCCTCCCCAATACCTCTGAGATAGATAATGGAATCGTCTGCCACCCTAAGATAGACCCAGAGAGCTTCTCCGGCGAGCCGACGACTGCTTCTTTCTTCCATTTAAAATCGAGTGACCCAAAAACTATTTTCAGGCAACTTACAAGTAGCTATTTTTCTTTTGTGGATAGCTATTTGTGGGATGGGAAACCGACCGACGATGGGAAGTGAAGAAACAGAGCCACCCGGCCCCTTCTACACCCGCCCTGGATCCACAACAGCACCAGGCGGCAAGCGATAACGGGCGAAAATGCCCCGGCACATGATCATCGCGATCGGTCGGTCACGCGACCCGTCGGCGTGGGCTGCTGTCGCCGATTTTGAATCTTCCCTGCCCACGTCCCGAGGCCGATCGATGGCCACGCACCTCACGATCCGCGCACGCCTCCGCACCCACACATGACACGGTAGGCGTCGTACTCAGCACCCACACACGACGCGCGCGCGCGCCTTTTCTTTTGCGCCCGCGCCACGTACGCGCGCGAAAAGGAGTGCTACGCGCGCCATCGCACACGGTATCCGATCCGCGATCGTGCCGTACGAAGCGCTTCTTTTCTTTCGCCTTGGATCGATCGGAGTCGACGAGGAAGTAGAGCTGGTAGATTAGATGGCACTGGTGGTACACGCCGCGCGATCGGCGCGCGCGCGCCCGTGCGTTGGGATGCACGGCGGCGAGGCCGGGGGTGCATGCGCAGGTAGGATGGGCCGGAGCGCGCGCGCACGTAGGCGTGAGGCCGGTGACCACGCACCGATCGGCGGCGGCGGCGGCATGAAATTGGCGTGCAGCGGCCGCGACGCCACGCCTTTGGCCGCATCCGCGCCGCGCCGCGCATTTATAAAAGGCCTCGGCTCCGGCGCACATGCAAATGCACACGCGCCAACGACGCATGCGCACCGCTGCGTGCACGTCGCGCGCACCCAGCAGGGCACCGCGCCACGCACCGGCTCGAGCTCGTGAATCTGTGGGATTAGGATCTACTCCTATCTATGATTATCACTGCGCAATTCACATGCATGCGATGCGATCGATCGTCGATGGATACTGGTAGGATCGGTCTTGTCGATCGATCGAGCACGGCGCGGCACGGTCATGCTCTCGATCGAACCCGTCGCCCGTGTCCGGGGGTGGTCCAAAGTCCAGACCAGGCACCACAATTCCACCTCCACCCTAGCGCTCCCTCCTAGCGCAGCACGATCGGCTACTCCTGCTTTTACCATGTACGTACCATTTGCCGAACCCAAGTTACTTACCACTGATCGCTGCTACGCCACGAGCAGCATACGCAGCATGCATGCGAGCGTCGAGGGGTACAGCACGATTGAATTGCGTGGCGCCGCCTCCTCTCGACACTGTTCGGCCGTTGCTGCTGCCGGTGCAGCAGTGCAATACGGTTCTTTCTTTCTTTTCCCGTCTGCTAGCCACAGGCTACAGGCTACGTACGGCGCATTGTCTGGTCAGTTTGGAGGCCGGCGAGCTCTGTGAATCTCGAGGACACGCGTGCTCTTACTGCCGTCCTCGCCCAGCCATGGCTCGCCACAGGTTTTATGGCTGGATCCAGTGATCCACGCTTCAACCCTCTTCCCCGAGACAGAGCATGTCGATCGATCGACGCTACTCCTGCCGGCACGTACGTACGGGGTCGAGGCCGCAGTAACGCGGCCGCAGCAGAGAGACTGCGGCAGAGCAGGACGATCTTCATCAGATCGGAGGATCTCATCCATGTCTACCGGATGGATCCGCTTCCTCTCGTCCGGATCGATCATCACGGTAAAATGGCGCGAAAAATTCCAGGCTGAGCCAGCAGGCATGCACATACTGGGCGACGTGGCTGGGTGGGCTGCGCCTGCCTGCAGCACGATGCGTGCTGCGTGCATGATGGATGCAGTTCACATAGTGGGGGTTGGATTATATATCAATGATTCAGTGGGTTTTTGCTGCCGCGAAAAACTTATTACGAATAATATATCTGAGGCATGGCCTCGAGTTATGGCAGTGCCGATCGATCCATCGACCGACCGACAGGGGCATAGATGGAAGCCCGGCTGCAAATATTCTAGTAGCTGGACCCTAATAAGCTTTCTTCTAGATCTGCAAATTCTTTTGTGTCTTCTCGTTTTTCTTGAGAGGATCTGCTTGCGCTGCTCCGCCAGATATGCACGCACGTTGGCTGATGGGGGAGGACTCTTCTGTAGGGTTGATCAGTGATGATCGGCCATGCATGGTCCATCTGCTACTCAACACTAGATTTGAAACCCGATGTGATATACCCATAAATCCTGCATTTATGCATGCTACGTACGCATGATAGACCGAATGTCTGTGAGAAGTGCCGTGGTACGTGGATGGCGCAGAGCAGGTGATCTTGATGTCTGCTCCGTATATGCTGGGTACACTAGTGTTAAAAACTCTTATGTACTTATAAGACGGAAGAAGTAGCTTATTAACTGTTGTCCTTTAGACGAGTCTGTGAATCTTCGCTCTGTGTAGCAGTAGTTTTTATCCTCCGTTTTCACTTTCGCATATTAAGACCATAAATCTTATCCGTACCTTCGCTTATTGATTCGAGACTGCTCCTTTTGGGCCTTGAATGTTTATCTCCTTTATAAACATGTTCCAGATCCAAAGCTGTAGTATAATCTTGCGAAATCTGTTTTTGTGTACTTACTCATCTGCAGTCTTGACTGTTCAATGCTTAGACCAGGCGGTTTAACTTTGTAGAAAAATTTGACAAACCGGTATATACCATTAGTCCCCTTGTTGAACCGCCGGATGTTGGTTGCTTCATGAAACTCCGGTTCAGATAATTCTGTTTCCGGTTTAACAGTGCCCATACCAACGTACCTTGATTAAATGCATTTTTGAACCGGGATCTTCTGCCTTGTAGATTCCATCATGGCCAAGCAAGTATATGAGTGCAATTGGGTTCCTTCTCGTGTCACAGAGGATCAACTGGACGATCTAGTCCTGATTGGCGCTTTAGGCAGTAAAGATACCATCCATTGGAGGCCTCCTGGCAAAGAATGCCCTCCCACACCTCGAGAAGGAGAGGTTGTTGTTTTCGTAGATCACTTAGCCCGGGGCTTTAAGCCGCCCGGTTCTAAATTTTACCGGGATGTTTTAGCCGATTTCCAACTCCATCCGCAAGACACTGGCCCCAACTCTGTTACCAATATGTGCCACTTCCAAGTACTCTGTGAGGTGTTCTTTCAAGAGGAGCCCACAGTGGAATTATTCAGAGATCTTTTCCATCTAAACCGCCGTACCGAGTTTACTGATGGCTCTAATACGGAGTTGGGTGGCATGGCAATTCAGAAAAGGAAAGAGGTCACATACCCTCACGCCAAGCTGCACAGTCACCCCAAGGAGTGAAATCAGACATGGTTCTACTGCAAAGACACCTCCCCTGCTGGTGAGAATCCCTTGCCTGACTTTCGTCCGGAGCGGCTCAGCAATACACACCCTTTTCCTCAAAGATTGA